CCCAGGCCCTGCTTACCAGTGTGTTAATGTGCCCTTGGGCAAGACTCTTAACTCCAGCATTGCTCCTTTCTCTGTGACCACATCGAGTGAATACACTGGGTTGTTGGTTCTAATCCTGGCTGCTTTATTATGACTTTCTACTTATAGCACTTTTACAGTTTAGCTTTCCTGAAGAATTTATATTTTCCTCATTGTTGTTGTTCTGGTTCTGTAAGTCACTTTACTCTTACTGTGTGTTTTTTAACCCATGGAGACAATCCATGATTAATTTCTCGCAGCTGAGGCCAATTGCCTTCACCTGGCTCCGTTCCCTGAGCCACTCCCCCTTTCTTTCCCCTCTGCAGCTGAGCCAAAACTATGCTAGCCACCACAGTCTGCTAACTACATCCTTTACGGAGTCTCACATTTTAGGTTTCATAGCACAATACCGCTATTATTAAAACAAAGATCAAATCAATTCAAAGATTATAAGGCTACATTTTTATTTGCACTTTATTTAATTTGAAACGTATTATTTTGAATGTATGTATTTTATTGACCAATGCTATTTTCTCTGTATATGCTGCCCTTAGGGTCCATTTTTAAAAAACACATCTCTTTCCATTGTTTTGCTGATGATGTACAAATTTACTTGCCTGTAAAAAACAATAAGAAGGACACTATCAAGCCGCTTTTAAACTGCTTGAGTGATCTCAAAGTATGGATGGATCCGAATTTTCTGTCTTAATGACAATAAGACCGAGGTTGTTGTGTTTGGACGTGCTGAACATCTCAGTGCCTGTGTAGATACTCTCAGTATTTTAGGCTCCCAAATTCGTCCATACCAGAAATCTGGGAGTGATTTTTGATCGTGCTTTTAAACTTGACAGATTAGTTCTGTTGTCAAAACTAGCTTCGTCCAGCTGAGACTCCTGGCTAAAGTCAAGGCCTACCTGCTACGCAAAGACTTTGAGAGAGTCATAAATGCATTAATTCCGTCCCGCTTAGACTACTGCAACTCACTGTATGTTGTGTTGGATCAGTCATCCCTTCGCTTGCAGTTAGTCCAGAACGCAGCAGCTCGTCTTTTGACCAGGACTAAAAAACACGACCACATTACACCGGCTTTGGCCACCCTCCACTGGCTTCCTGTTTGTTTCAGGATTGAATTTAACATTGTGCTCTGTCTGTGTTTTATTGTATCGCTGCTTTTCGAGCTTGTTAAGCACTTTGGTCAACCGAGGTTGTTTTTAAATGTGCTATATAAATACAACTTGAACTTGAACTTGCCCCTTTTCAAATTATTATTATATTAACTCTATCAGGGAGCAGGACGTAGATGTTCAACAAGACGATACCTGTTCAATCCACCGGGGGGCGACACGTGATTATGCTTCTAACTGCTGTCAACCAACCAGGTTCTCTTTACTTGCACTACTGCAGTAGTTCCCACACTGTTTCTGTCAGAGCCCCTTTGAGGATACAGGTCCACTGTAACATTGATTGAAACATAAAAGAAAAAGTCGTTTAAATGCTGAAAAGGGGTTAAACAATTCAGTGTTTTTTAAACCATCAGCATTAAACACCAGAGCTTTTTGCCTTTTTGCATATGGGTCCAATAAACTATTACAATTTACATTAAATAAATAAATGTGCGTCCACTGTCAAGATCACATCCACACACAAAGATTCCTTTTACCTTTACAATTTAAAAGTCCTATTCCTTTACTGAAGAATGTATATGGTGTTATTATTAACAATACATTCACATCCATTGCAGGTCGCAGACAAGTTACAGACAGGGACACTGCAGACAGTCCTCTAATGGTCCTCAAGCACCTGCCCTTTTGCCCCTTCTGCAGGTTTCTCATTTTTTCTTCATTCATCAACATTTAAGAACAAAAATTATTCTCTCTCTCATCAATTTCCTGCAAATGTGTTTATGTACCAGACGGGGCATTTGTTTGTATGTTTTTGCCTGATATTCATTCAATTTGATAATTTGAGTTAGTTTGTTAACAAAAATAAATATATAAGCTGAAAAATATTGTGTTTATTTATTATTATTATATACATAAATAATTTGGATGAGTGGGGTTTGGTTTTGGTTTTAGCACCTGCCCCCCAAAATGTCTGCCTGCAGACAACAGTTCATTAACTCATATATATGGCCCCCTTGCGTGTCCCTTGCGTAAAGTCTATGATAAATAAATAAATAAATAAATAGACGTGACTCTCTGGGGAGGTATTCCAGAAAGCGGGTTATGTGAAAACTCAGAGTAAGTTAACCCTAAGATCAGGGAAACTCTGAGTTATCCGTTCCAGATAGAGAGGTAACTGAAACTCAATAGAGAGGTAACTGAGTCAATCACCGTGGTAACAGACTCTGTGAACATAACCTGCTCGCTGGCAGGTTTACTATGAGAAACACAGTTTCTACCAGTCTCCCCCCCCCACATGAAGAAAGCTGGTAGACATGGATTGCCCGTTCCTACCAAATCCAATTGACATCGAAGACGTCATGATTCGAAATGCTTTACGTCGCGAGAGACTCTTCCGACCCAGATTAGACGTTTTATCATTTCCAGAGGAATTTCTGTTGGAACGCTACAGCTTTTCCTCACAAGGTGTCATTTATCTCACTAACATTCTCCGGCCGTATATCACCAACCTCACACCGCGGACGTGCACTCACATTAGAGCAAATCTTGTGCATCGCATGTTTTTTTGCAAATGGTAGTTTTCTTTACAACATCGGGGATGTGATCAGTTTGTAGAGCTGTGAGGAAAGTTCCCCTCGCGCTGAAGCGCCGGTTACTCGTGATGGTGGTGTTTCCCGGACACAAACCTCTTACAACCATCAAAGAGGAATTCTACAGGATTGCAGGTGACTGATGTAGAAATCATATATTATATATTTTTTAATTTTGATGTACATTCTGCTGCGACCTCAGATGCTTGATTAGCTGTGATTTTGCAGGGCTTCCAAATGTGATTGGATGCATAGATGGGACACATATTCCTATTACTGCGCCTGCACTCGATGAGGGGGACTATGAATAGAAAATCCTTTCACACAAAAGCAAAGTATGAAGAACAAAATTAATATTTCAAATAAAAATCATTATTTCTATTGTCAATATTGTGACTATATTTTCAATTCATTTTTCCAACTCATTTGATAAATAAAAGTGACTTTTCATGGAAAACACAAAATTGTCTGGGTGACCCCAAACTTTTGAACGGTAGTGTATATTTTAGTTTTATTTTTTTTAAAGAAGTGTATACTTGCATCTAATGTAGTAACTTGTGTCCTGAGTGACAGGTTCAGAAGAGCTTCCCTCAGGGATACCTTCAGCCACCGGGCGACCGCTGTTTAGGCTGAGGGCCAGCTCCTCAGCCTCTGTCAGAGGTGGTGGAGGTGGCCCTCCACCTGTTTTTCGGGCCTCTGCCTTCTGACGTGTAAAAACAACATTTACTATTTCAAGTAGCCACTGAATTAATATTTACTTTGTTTAATATCCGTCCCCAGGTTTTACAGTGTACAGTGTTTATATGATTTATGACTATAGATTGTTTGATTAATATTGCATTCACTTCATCTAACACGCTAACTAATATCTAACATCACACAAACTACAATTCTAGACTAAAGATACACTGTAGCTTGTTGATGTGATGATGGTGTGATATTTACTCTTCTCCTGTCTCTTCTCACAGGGAAGAGATGACCTGCAGAATCCTGGTGATCTTTATCCTGACCTCCTGTGTCTGTGGTGAGTTCATTACATCACATTACAGGTCATTTAGCAGACGCTTTTATCCAGAGCGACTTACATTACACTTTAAACCCATGGCTTTTTACATTTTTGCCTGGGGAGCAATTAGGGGTTAGGTGTCTCACTCAGGGCCACTTCGACTTGAGACATGGGACATGGGACATTGGGCCGAGACTCCAACCACCAACCTTGCAGGTTCCCAGCACACCCGCTCTACCCTCTGCGCCACGACAACTCCATGGGTGAAGTTATATTGCAAGAGATCAACAATAAAACCAATCCTAACTGATTGGCTGGTGTTTCTTGTTACTTTTACTTTACTTTTTTTGTTCACTTTTGTGTTTGTGAAGCATCAGCACACACTCCTCAGAAACATCTGGAGATGGAGTCTAAAGGCTCCATGTTGAAGCTGTTAGTTTGTCACCTCCTCCTCTCCTTCTCTGTCTCCTCAGGGTCATTTGTAGTGAATGTGACACAGAGCTGGTATCATGCAGAGGAGAACCACAACATCTCACTGGAATGGATGTTCCCCACCAGCACGGACCACTCCCCCAACTCCCTTCATATCACCTGTGAGATGATAAATCCTGATAGACCCGCAGTCCTGTTTGATCTACATGAAGGTGTCGAAGTTCCAGAGTTGCAGGATGAACGCTTTGCAGGACGAGTCCAGTGGGACAAAGACGTCCTCATAGAAGGACGACTCAGACTTCACATCTCCAGACTCCAGACTAATGACTCGGGGCTGTACTGGTGTGAAGTGGACACAAGTTATGGGAGGAACTATAAGGAATGTCTACTCAATGTCACTGGTAGGTTCATTAAGTTAAACTTACTAACACGTTTAATTCAGCAGCTTTATTCAGATGAATAAACATTTTCTTTACATTAATAAAACAGATTTGTCTCTTTGCAGCAGTGAAGGATCGGCCGGAACTTGAGACAACGAGTGATACGAGTCTGAGAGGAGATCCTCGAGAAAGGATCGGCCTCTGCTGTGCACTGGGACCAATGGGGCAAATATTAGTGATCAGCAGAACAAACAATACATCAGAACCACAATTGAAGTTATTGATCCTTTAAGTGTTTGCACAGAAACAGTCTGATGTGTTCTGACTGAAGTCCAGCTGAGACACATCTGGATCTTGTACACATTTCTCGCTTATCGTACATTATAATACGGGTACATTATTGGGCGGTTATGTACAGTCGCTGTTCACATTGACCCAAGCGTATCACTCAAAGTTGTCAGAGTTCCCCCCTCCAGACCCAGGTAAAGGCTGGTTTTGGTCTCCCTCTGGTGGATCTGGGAGAGGTTGGCCTCGCACGCACCTGTCTCAGCTCTGCAATCACGCACCTGCACCGGAGCCACAATCACCAGGGTATAAGAGGGAGAGCCTGACAACCGGCCGACGTCGGATCGTTACTCACGTCACGTATGTCGACCTCAGTCTTCGCGAGTCTCAGTGACCATCACCCAGTCAAGCCGAGAGCTGGCTGTTGTTCTCTTTTCATTCAGTGTTAATCCTGTTACTTAACCCTTGTCTCACCTCCTCGGTTACAGTGACACCTGTCTGGATTCCTGCACGTGGGAGGAGCACTGGGCACCGCGCACTGTCGAGGAGATCATCACCCGGGACCCCATCCTTCATCTGCACTCCTCACGCCCGCTCCTGCTGCACCTCCACAGTCGTGTCGATTAATAAACTGTTAAATTCACTCTCCTCCTGACGGCTGTGTCTGTCTGTTCTGCGTTTGGGTCCAGCCACGTCCCCTACCTGACAAAAGTAACAGGTTAGCTTTTGCGCGACTGTTGACATTTAAGCTTTTTTGCTCTGTGGCGATTGCCGAAATAAGACCCGGAAATCCCATGAGTGATCGGCTTCAGGCAATGCGAGCTTTCGCAACCGGACAATTAAGGTGGACGTCATCAGCGATGTGAATGAATGAGAATGTGCGAGATTTAAGAAGACACAATGCTGTTTACATGCACAGACAGGGACTATTTTTACACAACGTTTGGTGGCTACAACTATTTTGTGCTAAAAGGCAGCTATTTACTTACTATTTATTATTTTGCTGGTAACCGAATTATAAAAGTAATAAGGTACTTGAGGCAATACTTTATTGTCCAATATCAATGTGACAGTTTGGGGGTGTTGTTAGACCCGACGCACAGCGGAGTACAGCCTCTCGAACCTCATTGCTTCATAATACTTGTCGATGAAATCCAGCGTTCTGATTGGTTGAGAGCGAGTCAAACGTGATGTTGCTGTTTTTCCGTTGCATTTTGTTACAGTCACACGTACAGGGACTATTTTCTCAGGCTACTGAAATGTGAAACAACGTTTGGTGGCTACAAGGCAGCTAATTACTTACTATCAACAACGTCGCTGGTAACCGTATTACAAGCGTGGGGCCTAACAACACACTTAAGTGTAACGTTATTGTGGATAAAGAACCTCATCGCTTAAACGTCACGGCCTCCTAACGCGGACAGTTTTTAGCCAACCATCCAGTAAAACTAGATAAGAATGATTGTGTTATGTTTTCAGGTGATTTAATTGTGTAAAAAGCGTTAGCTTTTTAGCTTTTGAGCCAAATGCTAATTTAATTCTGAGAGTCTAAATTGTCTTAACCAGAGTCACTAAAAGGACACTGGTATTGCCTTAACCCGGGCCGACGTCCATCATCATTATAAAACATACATTTTTGCAGAGCTTAAACATTGGCTTAAACAAAGAGTCGCCAAAATGATCATGCTATCCGGAAATCCAATTCTGGCCTTTTTAAAGTAAGAAATCTCATCATCGCCCGACCATTGTGGTAGTTAGACATGTAAATGTTTATATATATTCATGAGATTTGACACATAGATTCGTTGACATGTATGAATTAACATTACTAACGTTTTCAAGGCAATCAACGAAAAACATTGTATAAAACAGCGTCAAATTGTGTATGTCCGGGTTAGAACACTGTTACGTTAAGTATTTCAGGGTTTGTTTTATTCTCCTTGGTTACTTGATTTCAAAAGTATTAATATGCATTCTGTCAACGGTAAGGAACTTAACATGTTTGAACATTTTTTTAAGCTTTTGTTTACCTTGCACTAAATAGTAAACTTTTATTTGTCAAATAGCAAATTACAAGCAAGTGAAAGAGTATTGACAAATTTTGAATAAGAAAGCATCAGATTTCATCCGTTTTCATTTTAAGCTGTTTTTAGATGTGTATTATCTTTTGGAATTATATTCATTTATGTTGTAGTTGGAGTCTCACTATAAAGGACCATTTATGAATTTGTCATACAAATAAAATTGTTCCGCCTTAATAAAATAACACAAAGCAGAGTCACAAGCAGCTACAGAATCAAAAGTTGTAATTTCAATTAAATGCTTATTTTAAACACGACACCAAGGGACTGATGTCGTTGTGTTTCTTCTACATAAATGTGGACGGTTTGTCAGATGTTCTGTCCCCTGCTCACCAAATAGGTCCATCCTGCTTAGTTTCCTGTTGGCAGGTGTGAACTTGTTGGTGAAAACGAGCTGAAAGCTTTAATGTTTACATGTTCAAGCACGTAGCAGTTTGTGAAGAGGAGAAGTCCGTTAAAAATACTGTTTTATATATATATATATATATATATATATATATATATATATATATATATATATATATAAATGTATTGCATACATCCAATACATGCAAATCCTCTCCCATGAGTGAAGGGTTTGATACACAAGACCTGATCACAGACCCTCCTCTGTCTTTCGATCCCCTGTTGCTCTCTGAAATGTGTAGACTTGTAGTAACACATCCACCTCAACAGAAATGTCTTCCTTGAGGTATTTTGAGGAATTTAAACATGAGGGGAGTCTTTTCACTCCACCACCACCTTAGTAAAAAGAACAAAGCAAGCTAAAAAAAAGCTTACTGCCTTTGTAATGGAAAGTAAAAACGGTCCTTTATAAACTGCATGTTAACATGAATGTACTTGTGAAAGGAATATAAGGTTATACAAGAGGTTTCTAAATGCTTCAAAATGAGGGCATTTCCTTACTGCAGCTTTCTTGTATTTGTTTATCTGCAGTAATATGGAGCTAAATTTGTTCAAGTTTCAAAACTTTTTTTTCACTTTCACATCCTATTTCAGACATTTGGCTTTAGTCTGTCTCTTGAGGCATCCTTTTAACACCTTCCTCTCCTTTCTCTTAAGGCAAGTCAAGGCATTTGTATTTGTGTAGAACATTTCAACAATAAAAGTTTTTCATAAAACCATTAAAACATCAAACATAAAGCAGGGAGATTTAAAAAAAAGTTTAAAACACTAATATTACATATTAGAAGATATTATGCATGCTATGTTACGTTTGCATTAAGGAGCTTTAGACAAACCATTTAATCATTGAATGTATTATGATAACAATCAGGGACAGTAAGGGGAGAGAGACGGATTTCGGGTTTGGTTCTTCTGACCTTTCACCTCCTGCCTGGGAAAAAAGAAAAGCGACCCGAGCCTCGTTCTACTAGTAGACCCCACGTAGCATTCTTTTTATGTTTTATTTGAATTCAAATTGTCTTTGAGTACTATGAAAATGGCTATACAAGTATTATTATTTTCAATACAGTGCACATTCACCATTATTAATTAATATTAATAACTCCTTACCAAAAGCTAGAATTATTAATTACTCAGGAAAGGTGGGTAAAAACACAACCAACGAAAACACGGAAGTGAATTGGTTGCATGCTGGTGGATTGAAGCTCTGCAGCCACCGACAACGAACAGTGCTAAACATATTTCAACATTTAACCGTTACTTCCCCTTCTTTACTGTTGCTCAAGAGGAAGTTGGCTGTACTTTCACAACTCAGCGGAAACACAGTTTTAGAACATGGTCATGGGACCATAATCATATGTGTTGGATTTCACGAGGAGACGCATATGCAGGTTGGCTGAGAACACGTAGCACGTAGCAAGTGGACGGACCAGTGGACGCAGGACTCAGGATTTGGCCGCTCTGACACCATGGATGGTGCAAACGCTTCCTCAGTTTTGCCAGGGTTAGACGTCACCCATCAAGAGCTCGGCTGTGTAGGGTCTTGGCAAGCCCCGCCCCTCCCTCCTCCTCGTGCTCGTGCTGAGCGCCAAACAGCTGCAGCATCAGACAAACAGGTGATGACGCTGTTTGGTCATAAATGAACCGTCACAAGCGCCGCTGGAAACATTACGTCGCAAATCCGGGATTTCAAAGGCTTGTCCAGCTGTTTACTGAGAGGAAGAGAGTTACAGACGAAGAATATAAAACATTTTTGTTAAAGAACATGCTTACCAGCACCAACGTGTCCTTCATGGAAAGGGTGGAATAGGGGCTTGAAATCCTAATGGTCGCATGGGTCTCACATTACACCGCCCATTACACCGCCCTAACTACACAATGAACCATTAGACACGTGGAAGACTGAGAAGGATCCTCGTCCGGGAGTGTTATTTTATTCTTAACTCTGTAAATGGATTAAAATGAAACTCTGACTGAGGAGTTTACTTGTTGAAGAGCTTCAGTTCTCATCACTCAAGACGTCCATGGTAAAGAGAGAATGACTTATGATTATATTAACATTTATTATGAGAGGATTCGTGGATCACCAAATATATTTGCGGGTAATCTTTTTTTGTTAATTAAATATAATTCAACTGTAAAAATATGCAATTAATTCTTTACAGTCAGAATATAACCTGATCCACTATAACCTAAAACCGCTGTATTATTTAGTAAAGATTAATTTTGTGTGTGTTCCCTGTGTGATATTAATTATAAATGTTGGTAGATGTTCACATCGTGCTTCTTTGAGGACAATAAGAAGATGTTGTGATGTAAGAAACACGAGGTCTGAACAGCCAGAGACTATTTATTGCATTAACTACACAAATGAATTCTCTCCACAAGTGAGTCTCAATAAAAGAGAAAGAAGCGTTAATTTAAGATATAAACATTTTAAAAAGAAAATAGAACATGTGTGACTAACTGTACCATCCGGGGGTCAGTGTAAAATAGTAAACAGCAAATAGTCACAAAAATCAGCAGAATTCCACCTCAAACAAATCAGAGCAAATAAAATGTCTAAAACTCACACAATACAAAAGCACAAGCAAGATGGCTGCTCCATATGTTACAGCAGGAAGCCCACAAGAGAATCAGACATAGAAAGGCCCAACTGACTTAATAAAAACACTAATAGGTAAGAGGAAAGAAACAGTGGGTGTCTAATGTGTTTAAAACAAAAACACATTTATATTCAAAGAAAACATTTACAAAACATGTCATGCATTCAAGCAGAACGTCTGTCCGGCTTCATCATGATCCCTTCCCCCAGTTCACAGTAAACGAATTTTGGAAGGTAATTATTACCCATGCAAATCGTTTACATTTTATTGTTGTATTAGTCAGCTAACAAAATTTTTCAACAGTCACAACTGCAGCCTAATAAAATATTTTGAAGTAAAGCTTACCTTCTCTGAATAAGTAATTGTTAATAAGTCATGTTGTTCAATTTTTAATAACAATTATTGGGTATTAAGTGCTTACAATCTAAAGTATATTTTATGTGGCAAGCCCATGCGTGGGTTTCCACGTCACTGTTCAAGAACACAAGCCGGCCTCTGGGTAGTTCAACAGTTTATTGAGAGTAAATTGATCGTGTAGGAGGATAAAGCTCAACACCACGTCACCGTGTCCAAGTCGTTCTCGTAGTCTTCTTCTACCAGGTGGTACACAAACGGGTCCTCTTCCAAAGCAGTTCGGTACACGGGAGGGTTGTCATCCAGTCCAGGTTAATCCAGTTAATCTTACACTCTTCTTTTTTTCTACTTTCTCTACTACGTCTCACTTGGTCTTGCTTTACTTTAAATGTGGTGAAATCTCCCCAAACAAACATTGCAAAGCAAATTGTTACCTCACAGTTACTGAGTAGATTCTATAGGTTGTTTTTTACAGTGATGGAACAGGTGATTGGACTAACTGTCAATGCCAAGCCTGATAAATGTATTAGTTAAATGGTTAACTAATGATATTCAGTATTAAAGTCATGTTCTTAGGTATAATGATGAATCCACACTGTGACTTAAAACCCGTTGATTTTGTGTTGTTTGGAAGTCTGGAATTTAACGGCAGTTTATTCTTATGAGAGACTATGAGTGAAACATCTTCAGGGAAACCAGCTTTACTTTGTGGTTGTAGTTCTCAGGGAGGTCGTCATTAGCATCAACGCTTTGTGTGTTTGTAACAAGCAAGATGAGAAACACAAAAGAGCATCACCATGTAAAGACACACTGTAGATTATTGATGTGATATTTGAGCCTCTTCTCCTCTGTCTCCTCTCACAGGGAGGAGATGATCTGCAGGATCCTGGTGATCTTCATCCTGACCTCCTGTTTCTGTGGTGAGTTCAGTTTGTGTTTGTGAAGCATCAGCACACACTCCTCAGAAACATCTGGAGATGGAGTCTAAAGTCACCTCCTCCTCTCCTTCTCTGTCTCCTCAGGGTCATTTGTAGTGAATGTGACACAGAGCTGGTATCATGCAGAGGAGAACCACAACATCTCACTGGAATGGATGTTCCCCACCAGCACGGACCACTCCCCCAACTCCCTTGATATCACCTGTCAGATGTTAAATTCTGATAGTCCTTTAGTCCTGTTTGATCTATATGAAGGTGTCGAGGTCCCAGAGTTTCAGGATGAACGCTTTGCAGGACGAGTCCAGTGGGACAAAGACGTCCTCATAGAAGGACGACTCAGATTTCACATCTCCAGACTCCAGACTAATGACTCGGGGCTGTACTGGTGTGAAGTGGACACAAGTTATGGGAGGAACTATAAGGAATGTCACCTCAATGTCACTGGTAGGTTCATAAAGTTAAACTTACTAACATGTTTAATTCAGCAGCTTTATTCAGATAAATAAACATTTTTCTTTACATTAATGAAACAGATTTGTTGGGTCTCTTTGCAGCAGTGAAGGATCGGCCCGAACATGAGACAACGAGTGATACGAGTCTGAGAGGAGATCCTCGAGGAAGGATCGGCCTCTACTGTGCACTGGGACTAGCAGCAGCTCTACTGGTTGTTTATTTATTTTCTCTCTGCACTGCCAAAAATATTAGTGATCAGCAGAACAAACAATACATCAGAACCACAATTGAAGTTATTGATCCTTTAAGCGTTTGCACTGAAACAGTCTGATGTGTTCTGACTGAAGTCCGGCTGAGACACATCTGGATCTTTGGATGTCTCCTGTGTGTCTCATGGATCAACAACAGCATGAAGGTCTCAGTGGACCTCTAGAGAGACAATTGTGATTCAAGGAGCACAGCTGGTGAACGCTGTGAATTATATTAGTTGTATCAGGACCAAACTGATTCACCTTCTGACATCACAGTATGAATAAGGAAACAAGTAGACATACTTTCCTTTCTGTTTCCTTTTTTTTTGTATCTGCATCGCAAAAAAAGTGTTTGCACAGAAAGAGTCAGAGGAGTTCTGACTGACGTCCACCTGGGACGTAGGATCTAGAGGCGGAATGGCCGTCTGGGATTCTCTGGGTTGGACGACGTTTCGTCTCTCAGCTGTCCAACAACCGCTTCTACTTCCTGGACGATTTCCCTGAAGAAGATTTGTAGAAGAATCCGTTGATGTAGATTTGAACAGAGTATAAATTGGCGAAGGGTTCAGGTGGCTTTAAAACAAATAACTGCCTTTACGAAATGTTGGTAGCCGCGAGCCGTTGTACATCGTCGAGAGGCCTCAGTCTAAAGAGCGGTACAATACTTCAAATCTTGTGGGTAAGTAAAAATTCTGAGAAAGGCTCTTAGATTTAGAATGTTTGAAGTCTCTACACACTTAAATGTATAATCAGCTTTCTGGTTTTAAAACCTATAAAGCAGCGACTCAATTTTTAAAAGTTTGAAATTAATATAAAAATATTTATGATGCGGCACATTAGTTATGTGAAACATTAGTTGATGAAGCACAAACAATTTAAACGGACAGATTAATAAAACAATAAGGCTCTCGCTCGAAACGGCTGCTCTTGTCCGCCTGTCGTTGTTCAACAAATGCAGCGCCCTCTTGTGGTATTAAAGTGAATATACCGCATCTTCCGCACTTCAAGGCGCACTTAAAAGGCTTTAATTTTCTCAAAAAACGACAGTGCCTTATAATCCGGAGCGGCTTATATATATGGATCAATTGGTTAATCGGTTGATCCATACTGGTTGTACACGGCGATAGAGGCGCTCTGCCAAACATGTCAAAGCTCGTCTACGACGGTGAGACGCTGAGCGCCGCTCAAGCGCGTGAGATATGGAGCTGCTTTCAGGGCGCGTCGGAGAAACAAAGCTTTCGTTCTCGCCGAGCACTTCATGAGATTAAAGAGCGAGAGACGGCGCCCTTTTCTCTACAGTAGCTGAACCATCTTAACGGGGAAAATAAGTTATTCTAAAAGCAGCCGAAGATTTAAGGCGTGGATGGCGAGGGGGGCGGCGGGAGCGGACCCACCTCGCGACATCGATCGGACCCTGAAAGCACCGTCTCCACCTTACTGTCAAAAAGAACAGCGAGCGCGTAGAAAAGTCCTTCGAGCGCGAGCAGAGATTCTCCTCGCGAGCAACGAAGTTCACGTTTCGCAAGCGAGCAAATACCTCGCGGAGACGAACCTTTGCTCGCGCGAGACGGACTTTTGCTCGCGGATGTTTGATTTTGGTTAAATTCTTAAAGTCATTTAATCATTATGTTTTGATCAGAGTTGTGATTAAAGGTTTGGGTGGGCCACGAAAGATTTTCAGATTTCAAACGGGGCCGTTTGGGAACCGCTGCTTTAGAGGTTTAGCTGTTAATTATAGATAAAGCTGTTATTATCTAAATATTGATATTGTCTTATATATTGGCTACAAATATGTTGTGCTAAAAGGCAGCTATTTACTTAAAAGGCAGCTATTTATATTATATTATAAATACATATATTATGGTATTATAAAAGCAATAAGGTACTTGAGGCTTCAATAAAGTAACAGTTCGATGGTTGCCGGCACTAACAACACCCCCAAACTGTTCCATTATTGGACAATGAAGTAGAACCTCTCGTACCTCATTGCTTTATAATACGGGTCGATGAAATCCAGCGTTCTGATTGGTTGAGAGCGAGTCAAACGAAAAAATGTTACTGTTTTTCCGTTGCATTTTGTTAGTCACACGTACAGGGACTATTTTCTCAGGCTACTGAAATGTGAAACAACGTTTGGTGGCTACAAGGCAGCTAATTACTTACTATCAACAATGTTGCTGGCAACCGTATTACAAGCGTGGGGCCTAACAACACACTTAAGTGTAACGTTATTGAGGATAAAGAACCTCATCGCTTAAACGTCACGGCCTCCTGACCCGGACAGTTTTTAGCCAACCATCCAGTAAAACTAGATAAGAATGATTGTGTTATCTTTTCAGGTTACTTAATGGTGGTAAAGTAAGTGTTAGGTCTTTAGCTTTCAAGCCAAATGCTAATTTAATTCTGAGAATCTAAATTGTCTTAACCAGAGTCGGTAAAAGGACGCTGGTATTGCCCAAACCCGGGCAGACGTCCATCGTCATAGCAAAGCATACATTTTTGCGGAGATTGAACATTGGTCAAAGAGTCGCCAAAAGGATCATGCTATCCGGAAACCGAATTCTGGCCTTTTTACAATAAGACATCCTGCTTCAACACCTCCAAATAGAATAAAAGCTCTTTCATCATCGCCCGACCGTCGCCCGAGTAAGTCCTCCAGTAGTTAGACATGTAAATGTTTATTTATTCATGAGATTTGACGTGTAGATTCGTTGACATGTATGAATTAACATTACTAATTTAGGGCACTTAAAATGGTTGAATGTTTTTTTAAACTTTTGTTTACCTTGCACTAAATTGTAAACTTTTATTTGTTTAATTACAAGCAAGTGAAAGAAGATTGACACATTTCAAACAAGAACTACGCATTACATTTGCATCCGTTTTCATCAAGCTGTTTTTAGATGTGTATTATCTTTTGGATTTACTTCCGTTATATAAGCAGACCCACGAGCAGCTACAGAATTGTCAAAAGTTGTAATTTCAATTAAATGCTTATTTTAAACACGACACCAAGGGACTGATGTCGTTGTGTTTCTTCTACATAAATGTGCACGGTTTGTCAGATGTTCTGTCCCAAATAGGTTCATTCTGCTTAGTTTACTGTTGGCAGGTGTGAACTTGTTGGTGAAAACGAGCTGAAAGCTTTAATGTTTACATGTTCAAGCACGTAGCAGTTTGTGAAGAGGAGAAGTCCGTTAAAAATACTGTTTTATATATATATATATAAATGTATTGCATACATCCAATACATGCAAATCCTCTCCCATGAGTGAAGGGTTTGATACACAAAACCTGATCACAGACCCTCCTCTGTCTTTCGATCCCCTGTTGCTCTCTGAAATGTGTAGACTTGTAGTAACACATCCACCTCAACAGAAATGTCTTCCTTGAGGTATTTTGAGAAATTTAAACATGAGGGGAGTCTTTGCACTCCACCACCACCTTAGTAAAAAGAACAAAGCAAGCTAAAAAAAAAAGCTTACTGCTTTTGTAATGGAAAGTAAAAACGGTCCTTTATAAACTGCATGTTAACATGAATGTACTTGTGAAAGGAATATAAGGTTATACAAGAGGTTTCTAAATGCTTCAAAATGAGGGCATTTCCTTACTGCAGCTTTCTTGTATTTGTTTATCTGCAGTAATATGGAGCTAAATTTGTTCAAGTTTAAAAACTTTTTTTCACTTTCACATCCTATTTCAGACATTTGGCTTTAGTCTGTCTCTTGAGGCATCCTTTTAACACCTTCCTCTCCTTTCTCTTAAGGCAAGTCAAGGCATTTGTACTTGTGTAGAACATTTCAACAATAAAAGTTTCTCATAAAACCATTAAAATATCAAACATAATGCAGGGAGATTTAAAAACAGTTTAGAACACATATTACATATTAGATGATATTATATTACTATGTTAAGTTTGCATGAAGGAGCTTTAAACCAACGTTTTAATCATTGAATTGATTGTATTGTGATAACGATCAGGGGCAGTCAGGAGGGAGACGGATTTCAGGTTTGGTTCTTTTGACCTTTCACCTCCTGCCTGGGAAAAAAGAAAAGCGACCCGAGCCTCGTTCTACTAGTAGACCCCACGTAGCATTCTTTTTATGTTTTATTTGAATTCAAATGTCTGAGTACTATGAAAATGTAATACAAGTATTATTTTTAATTCAGTGCACATTCACCATTAATTAATATTAATAACTCCTTACCAAAAGCTAGAATTATTAATTACTCAGGAAAGGTGGGTAAAAACACAACCAACGAAAACACGGAAGTGAATTGGTCGCATGCTGGTGGATCGAAGCTCTGCAGCCACCGACAACAAACAGTGCTAAACATATTTCAACATTTAACCGTTTACTCCCCTTCTTTACTGTTGCCCAAGAGGAAGTTGGCTGTACTTTCACAACTCAGCGGAAACACAGTTTAGGGCATAGGGGAGAGCGGGGTAAGCGGGACAGCCTGATTGACAACCAGACTTTCCAAAACTAATATCGGACTAGTAACAGAATCGTGGGGATTAGTAATTTAAGCACATTTATTTAAACACTTGAAAGTAACTCCGAACAAAATCATATGCAACAAAATATGAATCCAAATGTTTTAATTAACGTTCAAATGACAGATAGAACCAGTTAGATTAGAACATGGTCATGGGACCATAATCATATGTGTTGGATTTCACGAGGAGACGCATATGCAGGTTGGCTGAGAACACGTAGCACGTAGCAAGTGGACGGACCAGTGGACGCAGGACTCAGGATTTGGCCGCTCTGACACCATGGATGGTGCAAACGCTTCCTCAGGAAAAATATCTCGGTTACATGGGAAAATCCCAGTGGCCTTGAATCCAGAGGTGATATTACGTGGTGTACTGCTGACAAGAAGGCCTCGTTCACAAGTCCTGCAATCTGGTAGATGGAGACTGTTTTGCCAGGGTTAGACGTCACCCATCAAGAGCTCGGCTGTGTAGGGTCTTGGCAAGCCCCGCCCCTCCCTCCTCCTCCTCCACCTCCTCCTCGTGCTCCTCCTCGTGCTCCTCCTCGTGCTCGTGCTGCGCGCCAAACAGCTGCAGCATCAGACAAACAGGTGATGACGCTGTTTGGTCATAAATGAACCGTCACTAGCGCCGCTGGAAACATTACGTCGCAAATCCGGGATTTCAAAGGCTTGTCCAGCTGTTTACTGAGAGGAAGAGAGTTACAGACGAAGAATATAAAACATTTTTGTTAAAGATCATGCTTACCAGCACCAACGTGTCCTTCATGGAAAGGGTGGAATAGGGGCTTGAAATCCTAATGGTCGCATGGGTCTCACATTACACCGCCCATTACACCGCCCTAACTACACAATGAACCATTAGACACGTGGAAGACTGAGAAGGATCCTCGTCCGGGAGTGTTATTTTATTCTTAACTCTGTAAATGGATTAAAATGAAACTCTGACTGAGGAGTTTACTTGTTGAAGAGCTTCAGTTCTCATCACTCAAGACGTCCATGGTAAAGAGAGAATGACTTATGATTATATTAACATTTATTATGAGAGGATTCGTGGATCACCAAATATATTTGCGGGTAATCTTTTTTTGTTAATTAAATATAATTCAACTGTAAAAATATGCAATTAATTCTTTACAGTCAGAATATAACCTGATCCACTATAACCTAAAACCGCTGTATTATTTAGTAAAGATTAATTTTGTGTGTGTTCCCTGTGTGATATTAATTATAAATGTTGGTAGATGTTCACATCGTGCTTCTTTGAGGACAATAAGAAGATGTTGTGATGTAAGAAACACGAGGTCTGAACAGCCAGAGACTATTTATTGCATTAACTACACAAATGAATTCTCTCCACAAGTGAGTCTCAATAAAAGAGAAAGAAGCGTTAATTTAAGATATAAACATTTTAAAAAGAAAATAGAACATGTGTGACTAACTGTACCATCCGGGGGGTCAGTGTAAAATAGTAAACAGCAAATAGTCACAAAAATCAGCAGAATTCCACCTCAAACGAATCAGAGCAAATAAAATGTCTAAAACTCACACAATACAAAAGCACAAGCAAGATGGCTGCTCCTTATGTTACAGCAGGAAGCCCCACAAGAGAATCAGACATAGAAAGGCCCAACTGACTCAATAAAAACACTAATAAGAGGAAAAAACCAGTGGGTGTCTAATGTGTTTAAAACAAAAACACATTTATATTCAAAGAAAACATTTACAAAACATGTCATGCATTCAAGCAGAACGTCTGTCTGGCTTCATCATGATCCCTTCCCCCAGTTCACAGTAAACGAATTTTGGAAGGTAATTATTACCCATGCAAATCGTTTACATTTTATTGTTGTATTAGTCAGCTAACAAAATTTTTCAACAGTCTTTATTATGCTTTGTGTGTTTGTAACAAGCAAGATGAGAAACACAAAAGAGCATCACAATGTAAAGACACACTGTAGATTGTTGATGTGATATTTGGGCCTCTTCTCCTCTGTCTCCTCTCAAAGGGAGGAGATGATCTGCAGGATCCTGGTGATCTTCATCCTGACCTCCTGTTTCTGTGGTGAGTTCAGTCTGTGTTTGTGAAGCATCAGCACACACTCCTCAGAAACATCTGGAGATGGAGTCTAAAGGCTCCATGTTGAAGCTGTCAGTTTGTCACCTCTCCTCTCCTTCTCTGTCTCCTCAGCAGGGTCATTTGTAGTGAATGTGACACAGAGCTGGTATCATGCAGAGGAGAACCACAACATCTCACTGGAATGGATGTTCCCCACCAGCACGGACCACTCCTCCAACTCCCTTTATATCTCCTGTGAGATGATAAATCCTGATGGACCCGCAGTCCTGTTTCATCTATATGAAGGTGTCGAGGTCCCAGAGTTTCAGGATAAACGCTTTGCAGGACGAGTCCAGTGGGACAAAGACGTCCTCAGAGAAGGACGACTCAGAATTCACATCTCCAGACTCCAGACTAATGACTCGGGGCTGTACTGGTGTGAAGTGGACACAAGTTATGGGAGGAACTATAAGGAATGTCACCTCAATGTCACTGGTAGGTTCATTAAGTTAAACTTACTGGGACCAGCAGCAGCTCTACTTGCTTCCTTTTTTTGCCTGAAAACGATGCATCAGAACCACAATTGAAGTCATTGATCCTTTAATTGTTTGCACAGAAACAGTCTCAAACTGTTCTGACTGAAGTCCAGCTGAGACACATCTGGATCCTCGGATGTCTCATGTGTGTCTCATGAATCAACAGCAGCCAGTATGAAGGTCTCAGCTACTTGTTTCCTTCTCTTGTCTCTGCATTGCAAAAAAAAGATTCCTTCAAGTGTTTGCACAGAAAGAGTCGTAGGATCCAGGGGCGGAATGGCCGTCTGGGATACTCGTGGTTGAACAATGTGGTTTTGGCTCTCCTGCTGACATTTTGGGCCCTGTAGTATTCTATGCTTCACAGAACAGTTGTATTTCCCTTTAAATCTTAAGGAATTACTGACGGAGATTTCTTGCGATCTGTATTCATGTTTTCTAATCTCTTCCGTCACTCTAGCATTATCATATGAAAAAAACGTATCATTACGTATTATTTATATCTTCTCCCACAATTTATCCAGCGTTCTGATTGGTTGATAGTGAGTTACGGGGATGTGCATTATTTAGCGATAATGTACAGTTGCTGTTCACATTGACCCGAGCGATATCACTCCTCAGTCAAAGTAACTATGGGGCTCCGTTTGTAAAATGCCGCACGTTCTAAAATCCTGCGCAGTTTTGCTACATTTAGCATATGAACAAATAGCATTCTTTTTATGTTTTATTTGAATTAAAATTGCCTTTGAGTACTATGAAAAGGGCTATACAAGTATTATTTTCAATACAGTGCACATTCACCATTAATTAATTAACTAATATGAATAACTCCTTACCAAAAGCTAGAATTATTAATTACTCAGGAAAGGTGGGTAAAAACCATCAAACGAAAACACTGTTTTCTTGTTTTTCGTTTGAAACCAAAACTGGTAAAACGGTAGTGAGCGGCCGTTTTCTCGTTTAGAACCAAAACACGAGACGACCAACTTTTACTTCCGTTAATCACTTTTGGTGTTTTGCCCATAAAACGAAAACACGAAGCGTAGCCACTAAACCGTAAGTACGTAGATTTTCACAGTAAGAGTAATGGAACGTTTGAATGCTTTGATTCATTCATTCTGGTTCTGATTTGTCACACTTCCACCCTAAATTGAACGGTTAGGCCCAACAGGTCAAAGGAACCAGATGATGAGAAATAATGTTGGTCAAATGCTGTGGTCTAAGGAAAATGAAAAATTGTATGACATTCAGACATTTTGACTGGAATATTTTACATTTTTTCTCACTAGACAGAGTGACCTCTGGAGCTGTGGATGGATGCACATCGTCAGACTAGAATTGGGTTGGGAACCATTGCAACATACCTGCTCTTTAGCATGTTGGACACACCAGCATGACACTGTTACAGAAAATGTATTTCACGCCAAATAACACTGATCTGCTGAAGCCTGTTTTGGGAGGAGGTTGTTTTAAAACTGTGATTGTGATCTGAGAGAATAAACATGTGCCTCAAAATGTAGATATTGTAGTTTAGTGACACTGGAATGTAATTAGGTAGAAGAAAGATATATTTGGACAGGTTGTCCCCAGTGACAGAGAGACACATTTTACTTGAAATAAAATATTTGTATACTCTAGTTGTACATCGAAGTCATGTCTTCTATGATCACCCAAGTCAAAGGTCACATTTACATTGAGTACACTGTGATGTCCTTGATAAAAGGTTTAGGAGCCCGAGGCGAAAAACCACAGTGCTGCACTGCCACCTACTGGGCGTCGATAGCACCACATATAAAATAAATGTTCATTTCAAATGTGACCATACATTTTGAGTGCGTCACAATAACTGGCTATTAACTATCAAAATAGTAACAATTCTGACGGCGATAAAACAAGTAGTTTTCTTTAGGAACACGGCCTTTGCCAACATTAGATCTGCTGGTCCACGCGTTCAGTCCAGCTTTTCCCGCCGGCGGAACGACTTGCTTCACACAGATCAATGCGCAGCAGCCCATCCGCGTCGACCTGCTCTCACATCATTGTAAGAGTGCGCTCATTCACAAAGGAGGAAACACTTTAGGAGGCTTTAGACGTGGAAACAAAGACCGAAAGGGTTCCTCGTCCGGGAGTGTTATTTTATTCTTAACTAGATGGATTAGAATGAAACTCACTGACTGAGGAGTTTATTGTGTTTCAGTTCTCATCACTCAAGACGTCCAACTTAAGGTGAGAATGACTTAATGTTGGTGTTATAATTATATTAACATTTATTATGTGAGGATTCATGGATCACAAGATATTTATGGTTAATATTCTTTTTGTTAATTAAATGGAATTAAACTGTAAAAAGATGCAATTTATTGTTTACAGGTCAAGGTCGAGGTCCCAGAGTTTCAGGATGAACGCTTTGCGGGACGAGTCCAGTGGGACAAAGACGTCCTCAGAGAAGGACGACTCAAATTTCACATCTCCAGACTCCAGACTAATGACTCGGGGCTGTACTGGTGTGAAGTGGACACAAGTTATGGGAGGAACTATAAGGAATGTCACCTCAATGTCACTGGTAGGTTCATTAAGTTAAACTTACTAACACGTTTAATTCAGCAGCTTCATTCAGATGAATAAACATTTTTCTTTACATTAATAAAACAGATTTGTTGGGTCTCTTTGCAGCAGTGAAGGATTGGCCGGAACCTGAGACGAGTGATACGAGTCTGAGAGGAGATCCTCGAGGAAGGATCGGTCTCTGTGCACTGGGACTAGCAGCTCTTGCTTCCTTATTTTGTCTCTGCATCGCAAAAAAAGATTCCTCCAAGTGTTTGAACAGAAATATTATTGTAGAATCCGCTGATGTAGATTTGAACAGAGTGTAAATTGGCGAAGGTTTCAGGTGGCTTTAAAACAAATAACTGCCTTTACGAAATGTTGGTAGCCGCGAGCCGTTGTACATCGTCAAGAGGCCTCAGTCTAAAGAACGGTACAATACTTCAAATCTTGTGGGTAAGTAAAAATTCGGAGAAAAGCTCTTAGATTTAGAATGTTTGAAGTCTCTACACACTTAAATGTATAATCAGCTTTCTGGTTTAAGTTTGAAATTAATAATCGAAACGGCTGCTCTTGTCCCCCTGTCGTTGTTCAACAAACGGGGCGCCAACTTGTGGTATTAAAGTAAATATACCGCATTTTCCGCACTCCAAGGCGCACATAAAAGGCTTTAATTTTCACAAAAAACGACAGTGCCTTAGAATCCGGAGCGGCTTATATATATGGATCAATTGGTTAATCGGTTGATCCACACTGGTTGGACACGGCGCTCAAGGCGCTCTGCCAAACAGGCCAAAGCTCGTCTACGACGGCGAGACGCTGAGCGGCGCTCAGGCGCGTGAGATATGGAGCTGCTTTCAGGGCGCGTCGGAGAAACAAAGCTGTCGTTCTCGCCGAGCACTTCATGAGATTAAAGATCGAGAGACGGCGCCCTTTTCTCTACAGTAGCTGAACCATTTTAAGGGGGAACATAAGTTATTCTAAAAGCAGCCGAAGATTTAAGGCGTGGATTGCGAGGGGGGCGGCGGGAGCGGACGCACCTCGCGACATCGATCGGACCCTGAAAGCACCGTCTCCACTTTACTGTCAAAAAGAAAAACAGCGAGCGCGTAGAAAAGTCCTTCGAGCGCGAGCCGCCGATTGTCCTCGCGAGCAACGAAGTTCACGTTTCGCAAGCAAGCAAATACCTCGCGGAGACGGACTTTAGCTCGCGGATGTTTGATTTTGGTTAAATTTTTAAAGTCATTTAATCATTATGTTTTGATCAGAGTTGTGATTAAAGGTTTGGGTGGGCCGCGAAAGATTTTCAGATTTCAAACTGGGCCGCGGCATTCTTGAGTTTGGGAACCGCTGCTTTAGAGGTTTAGCTGTTAATTATAGATAAAGCTGTTATTATCTAAATATTGATATTGGCTACAAATATGTTGTGCTAAAAGGCAGCTATTTACTTAAAAGGCAGCTATTTATATTATATTATAAATAAATATATTATTGTATTATAAAAGCCATAAGGTACTTGAGGCTTCAATAAAGTAACAGTTCGATGGTTGCCGGCCCCAACAACACCCCCGAACTGTTACATTATTGGACAATGAAGTAGAACCTCTCGTACCTCATTGCTTTATAATACGGGTCGATGAAATCCAGCGTTCTGATTGGTTGAGAGCGAGTCAAACGTGATGTTGCTGTTTTTCCGTTGCATTTTGTTACAGTCACACGTACAGGGACTATTTTCTCAGGCTACTGAAATGTGAAACAACGTTTGGTGGCTACAAGGCAGCTAATTTCTTACTATCAACAATGTCGCTGGCAACCGTATTATAAGCGTCGGGCCTAACAACACACTTAAGTGTAACGTTATTGAGGATAAAGAACCTCATCGCTTAAACGTCACGGTCTCCTAACCCGGACAGTTTTTAGCCAACCATCCAGTAAAACTAGATAAGAATGATTGTGTTATCTTTTCAGGTTACTTAATGGTGGTAAAGTAAGTGTTAGGTCTTTAGCTTTCAAGCCAAATGCTAATTTAATTCTGAGAATCTAAATTGTCTTAACCAGAGTCGGTAAAAGGACGCTGGTATTGCCCAAACCCGGGCAGACGTCCATCGTCATAGACATCCTGCTTCAACACCTCCAAATAGAATAAAAGCTCTTTCATCATCGCCCGACCGTCGCCCGAGTAAGTCCTCCAGTAGTTAGACATGTAAATGTTTATTTATTCATGAGATTTGACGTGTAGATTCGTTGGCATGTATGAATTAACATTACTAATTTAGGGCACTTAAAATGGTTGAATGTTTTTTTAAACTTTTGTTTACCTTGCACTAAATTGTAAATTTGTATTTGTTTAATTACGAGCAAGTGAAAGAGGATTGACACATTTCAAACAAGAATGCATTAGATTTGCATTCGTTTTCATCAAGCTGTTTTTAGATGTATAGTGTATTATCTTTTGGATTTACTTCCGTTATATAAGCAGACCCACAAGCAGCTACAGAATTGTCAAAAGTTGTAATTTCAATTAAATGCTTATTTTAAACACGACACCCAGGGACTGATGTCGTTTTGTTTCTTCTACATAAATGTGCACGGTTTGTCAGATGTTCTGTCCCCTGCTCACCAAATAGGTCCATTCTGCTTAATTTACTGTTGGCAGGTGTGAACTTGTGGGTGAAAACGAGCTGAAAGCTTTAATATTTACATGTTCATGCATGTAGCAGTTTGTGAAGGGGAGAAGTCCTTTAAAAATACTGTTTGGATATATACAATATTTATAATAATATATATATATATATATATATATATATATATATATATATACAATGTATTGCATACATCCAATACATGCAAATCCTCTCCCATGAGTGAAGGGTTTGATACACAAGACCTGATCACAGACCCTCCTCTGTCTTTTGATCCCCTGTTGCTCTCTGAAATGTGTAGACTTGTAGTAACACATCCACCTCAACAGAAATGTCTTCCTTGAGGTATTTTGAGCCCCACCACCACCACCTTAGTAAAAAGAACAAAGCAAGCTAAAAAAAATGCTTACTGCTTTTGTAATGGAAAGTAAAAACGGTCCTTTATAAACTGCATGTTAACATGAATGTACTTGTTAAAGGAATATAAGGTTATAAAAGAGGTTTCTAAATGCCTCAAAATGAGGGCCTTTCCTTACTGCAGCTTTCTTTTATTCATTTATCTGCAGTAATATGGAGCTAAATTAGTTTCAAAACTTTTTTTTCACTTTCACATCCTATTTCAGACTTTTGGCTTTAGTCTGTCTCTTGAGGCCTCCTTTTAACACCTTCCTCGCCTTTCTCTTAAGGCAAGTCAAGGCATTTTTATTTGTGTAGCACATTTCAACAATAAAAGTTTCTCATAAAACCATTAAAACATCAAACATAATGCAGGGAGATTTAAAAACAGTTTAGAACACATATTACATATTAGATGATATTATATTAGATAATATTATATTACTATGTTAAGTTTGCATGAAGGAGCTTTAAACCAACGTTTTAATCATTGAATTGATTGTATTGTGATAACGATCAGGGGCAGTCAGGAGGGAGAGACGGATTTCAGGTTTGGTTTTTCTGAGCTTTCACCTCCTGCCCGGGAAAAAAGAAAAGAGACCCGAGGCTCGTTCTGCTAGTAGACCCCATAGCATTCTTTTTATGTTTTATTTGAATTCAAATGTCTTTGAGTACTATGAAAATGTATAATACAAGTATTATTATTTTTAATTCAGTGCACATTCACCATTAATTAATATTAATAACTCCTTACCAAAAGCTAGAATTATTAATTACTCAGGAAAGGTGGGTAAAAACCAACCAACGAAAACACGGAAGTGAATTGGTCGCATGCTGGTGGATCGAAGCTCAGCAGCCACCGACAACAAACAGTGCTAAACATATTTCAACATTTAACCGTTACTTCCCCTTCTTTACTGTTGCCCAAGAGGAAGTTGGCTGTACTTTCACAACTCAGCGGAAACACAGTTTAGGGCATAGGGGAGAGCGGGGTAATGTGAGATACTTTTGCTTCCCTCTAGGCGAGCTAAAGTGATATATCAGTAAAATGTACACATTTCACATTAATTCAGGCTGTTTCCTAGTAATGGAAATTATCAGAATGTCCTCAGGACAAAGGGCAGTAGAAATATGAAAGTTTTTTTTTTTTAAGTGGTCATTAAAATTTTCAAAATTTTAAAATCCTGACAGCCTGATTGACAACCAGACTTTCCAAAACTAATATCGGACTAGTAACAGAATCGTGGGGATTAGTAATATAAGCACATTTATTTAAACACTTGAAAGTAACTCCGAACAAAATCATATGCAACAAAATATGAATCCAAATGTTTTAATTAACGTTCAAATTAAAGATAGAACCAGTTAGATTAGAACATGGTCATGGGACCATAATCATATGTGCTGGATTTCACGAGGAGACGCATATGCAGGTTGGCTGAGAACACGTAGCACGTAGCAAGTGGACGGACCAGTGGACGCAGGCCGCAGCTCAGGATTTGGCCGCTCTGACACCATGGATGGTGCAAACGCTTCCTCAGGAAAAATATCTCGGTCATATGGGAAAATCCCAGTGGCCTTGAATCCAGAGGTGATATTACGTGGTGTACTGCTGACAAGAAGGCCTCGTTCACAAGCCCTGCAATATGGAGACTGTTTTGCCAGGGTTAGACGTCACCCATCAAGAGCTCGGCTGTGTAGGGTCTTGATAAGCCCCGCCCCTCCTCCTCCTCCTGCTCGTGCTCGTGCTGCAAACAGCTGCAGCATCAGACAAACAGGTGATGACGCTGTTTGTGCAAATCCCCGGAGTCTGGTCATAAATTAACCGTCACTAGCGCCGCTGAAAACATTACGTCGCAAATCCGGGATTTCAAAGGCTTGTCCAGCTGTTTACTGAGAGGAAGAGAGTTACAGACGAAGAATATAAAACATTTTTGTTAAAGAACATGCTTACCACCACCAACGTGTCCTTCATGGAAAGGGTGGAATGGGGGCTTGAAATCCTAATGGTCGCATGGGTTTCACATTACACCGCCCATTACACCGCCCTAAACCCCACAATGAACCATTAGACACGTGGAAACAAGAAGGATCCTCGTCCGGGAGGGTTATTTTATTCTTAACTCTGTAAATGGATTAAAATGAAACTCTGACTGAGGAGTTTACTTGTTGAAGAGCTTCAGTTCTCATCACTCAAGACGTCCATGGTAAAGAGAGAATGACTTATGATTATATTAACATTTATTATGAGAGGATTCGTGGATCGCCAAATATATTTGCGGGTAATCTTTTTTTGTTAATTAAATATAATTCAACTGTAAAAATATGCAATTAATTCTTTACAGTCAGAATATAACCTGATCCAATATAACCTAAAACAGCTGTATTATTTAGTAAAGATTCATTTTGTGTGTGTTCCCTGTGTGATATTAGTTATAAATGTTGGTAGATGTTCACATCGTGCTTCTTTGAGGACAATAAGAAGATGTTGTGTTGTAAGAAACACGAGGTCTGTTTGAAGAGTTTTTAAGGTTCGGTTGGAAGAACCGTCCGAAGGGACAGAAATTCTGACCAACCGGCAACTCTGCGCACTCAGACTTTGAGGAGCGCTCCCGTTTACTCCGTGACGGTTTAGTTCTGTTGCATCGTCAAATCGATGAGTGTTTGAGGCTCTCAGGCAGACATCAAGAATTAAAGATGGGGGGAAAAAAACATAAAATCAGACGATATTTATTCATGTAAAAGAGGAAGAATAAACAACCAGAGACTATTTATTGCATTAACTACACAAATGAATTCTCTCCACAAGTGAGTCTCAATAAAAGAGAACGAAGCGTTAATTTAAGATATAAACATTTTAAAAAGAAAATAGAACATGTGTGACTAACTGTACCATCCGGGGGGTCAGTGTAAAATAGTAAACAGCAAATAGTCAGAAAAACCAGCAGAATTCCACCTCAAACGAATCAGAGCAAATAAAATGTCTAAAACTCACACAATACAAAAGCACAAGCAAGATGGCTGCTCCGTATGTTACAGCAGGAAGCCCCACAAGAGAATCAGACATAGAAAGGCCCAACTGACTTAATAAAAACACTAATAAGAGGAAAAAACATTGGGTGTCTAATGTGTTTAAAACAAAAACACATTTATATTCAAAGAAAACATTTACAAAACATTTCATGCATTCAAGCAGAACCGGCTTCATCATGATCCCTTCCCCCAGTTCACTGTAAAAACGAATTTTGGAAGGTAATGTCAGGGATGCGGGTGGGAGGCAGGACTCAAATGCAGACTTGTCAGGAAACACAAGGACTTTAATAGTCAAAGATCCAAAATCCAAAAGGCCAAGGGGCAAAAACACACAGGCATGAAACTACGACTATCCACAACAAGAGACACGGACATGCGTGGCGAAAGACAATGACGCGACAAGTGACACAAGAGACACACGGCTTAAATACACAAGGGAGGTGCAGGTGATTGGACACAGGTGGAAACTATTAGACGATCACAGGGGATGACGAGACAAGGCAGGAAGTGAAGTTACCCGGGGACACGAGTGGCAGAAAACTACAAAATACAACAGGAAGTGAACCACACCGTGACAGGTAATTATTACCCATGCAAATCGTTTACATTTTATTGTTGTATTAGTCAGCAAACAAAATTTTTCAACAGTCACAACTGCAGCCTAATAAAATATTTTGAAGTAAAGCTTACCTTCCCTGAATAAGTAATTGTTAATAAGTCATGTTGTTCAATTTTTAATAACAATTATTGGGTATTAAGTGCTTACAATCTAAAGTATATTTTATGTGGCAAGCCCATGCGTGGGTTTCCACGTCACTGTTCAAGAGCACAAGCCGGCCTCTGGGTAGTTCAACAGTTTATTCAGAGTAAATTGATCGTGTAGGAGGATAAGCTCAACACCACGTCACCGTGTCCAAGTCGTTCTCGTAGTCTTCTTCTACCACGTGGTACACAAACGGGTCCTCTTCCAAAGCAGTTCGGTACACGGGAGGGTTGTCAGCCAGTCCAGGTTAATCCAGTTAATCTTACACTCTTCTTTTTTTCTACTTTCTCTACTACGTCTCACTTGGTCTTGCTTTACTTTAAATGTGGTGAAATCTTCCCAAACAAACATTGCAAAGCAAATTGTTACCTCACAGTTATTGAGTAGATTCTATAGGTTGTTTTTTACAGTGATGGAACAGGTGATTGGACTAACTGTCAATCGCCAAGCCTGATAAATGTATTAGTTAAATGTGGTTAACTAATGATATTCAGTATTAAAGTCATGTTCTTAGGTATAATGATGAATCCACACTGTGACTTAAAACCCGTTGATTTTGTGTTGTTTGGAAGTCTGGAATTTAACGGCAGTTTATTCTTATGAGAGACTATGAGTGAAACATCTTCAGGGAAACCAGCTTTACTTTGTGGTTGTAGTTCTCAGGGAGGTCGTCATTAGCATCAACGCTTTGTGTGTTTGTAACAAGCAAGATGAGAAACACAAAAGAGCATCACGATGTAAAGACACACTGTAGATTATTGATGTAATATTTGAGCCTCTTCTTCTCTGTCTCCTCTCACATGAAGGATATGATCTGCAGGATCCTGGTGATCTTCATCCTGACCTCCTGTTTCTGTGGTGAGTTCAGTTTGTGTTTGTGAAGCATCAGCACACACTCCTCAGAAACATCTGGAGATGGAGTCTAAAGGCTCCACGTTGAAGCTGTCAGTTTGTCACCTCCTCCTCTCCTTCTCTGTCTCCTCAGGGTCATTTGTAGTGAATGTGACACAGAGCTGGTATCATGCAGAGGAGAACCACAACATCTCACTGGAATGGATGTTCCCCACCAGCACGGACCACTCCCCCAACTCCCTTCATATCACCTGTCAGATGTTATATTCTGATAGACCTTTAGTCCTGTTTCATCTATATGAAGGTGTCGAGGTCCCAGAGTTTCAGGATAAACGCTTTGCAGGACGAGTCCAGTGGGACAAAGACGTCCTCAGAGAAGGACGACTCAGACTTCACATCTCCAGACTCCAGACTAATGACTCGGGGCTGTACTGGTGTGAAGTGGACACAAGTTATGGGAGGAACTATAAGGAATGTCACCTCAATGTCACTGGTAGGTTCATAAAGTTAAACTTACTCAACATGTTTAATTTAGCAGCTTTATTCAGATGAACAAACCTTTTTCTTTACATTAATAAAATAGATTTGTTGGGTCTCTTTGCAGCAGTGAAGGATCGGCCCGAACATGAGACAACGAGTGATACGAGTCTGAGAGGAGATCCTCGAGGAAGGATCGGTCTCTGTGCACTGGGACCAGCAGCAGCTCTACTTGCTTCCTTTTTTTGCCTGTGCATTGCCAAAAAGATTTATGATCAGCAGAACAAACGATGCATCAGAACCACAATTGAAGTCATTGATCCTTTAATTGTTTGCACAGAAACAGTCTCAAACTGTTCTGACTGAAGTCCAGCTGAGACACATCTGGATCCTCGGATGTGTCATGTGTGTCTCATGAATCAACAGCAGCCAGCATGAAGGTCTCAGCTACTTGTTTCCTTCTCTTGTCTCTGCATTGCAAAAAAAAGATTCCTTCAAGTGTTTGCACAGAAAGAGTCGTAGGATCCAGGGGCGGAATGGCCGTCTGGGATACTCGTGGTTGAACGACGTGGTTTTGGCTCTCCTGCTGACATTTTGGGCCCTGTAGTATTCTATGCTTCACAGAACAGTTATATTTAGTTATTTATTTATTTATATTTTAAATCTTAAGGAATTACTGACGGAGATTTCTTGCGATCTGTATTCATGTTTTCTAATCTCTTCCGTCACTCTAGCATTATCATATGAAAAAAACGTATCATTACGTATTATTTATATCTTCTCCCACAATTTATCCAGCGTTCTGATTGGTTGATAGTGAGTTACGGGGATGTGCATTATTTAGCGATAATGTACAGTTGCTGTTCACATTGACCCGAGCGATATCACTCCGCACTCAAAGTAACTATGGGGCTCCGTTTGTAAAACGCCGCACGTTCTAAAATCCTGCGCAGTTTTGCTACATTTAGCATATGAACAAATAAGCACGACAATATTCACATGTCACTTTTTCAAACATTTAGAGAGAAATTCATGTACATTCATGCAATAACTTTTCCAAGGACAATGTTTGGCAGTAACAAAGTTGTTAAATAATATATTTTAATATATTATTTCTATATAGACCCCACATAGCATTCTTTTTATGTTTTATTTGAATTAAAATTGCCTTTGAGTACTATGAAAAGGGCTATACAAGTATTATTATTTTCAATACAGTGCACATTCACCATTAATTAATTAACTAATATGAATAACTCCTTACCAAAAGCTAGAATTATTAATTACTCAGGAAAGGTGGGTAAAAACCATCAAACGAAAACACTGTTTTCTTGTTTTTCGTTTGAAACCAAAACTGGTAAAACGTTTTTTTTTCTCACTAGACAACAAGCATAAAGAGATTATTTCATTGCTTCCATGTGACCTTTAATGTGACCCTCAGAGTGACCTCTGGAGCTGTGGACGGATGCACATCGTCAGACTAGAATTGGGTTGGGAACCATTGCAACAGACTACCTGCTCTTTAGCATGTTGGACACACCAGCATGACACTGTTACAGAAAATGCATTTCACGCCAAATAACACTGATCTGCTGAAGCCTGTTTTGGGAGGAGGTTGTTTTAAAACTGTGATTGTGATCTTCTTGATCTTTTTCTTTAACTGATAACTTAAAGAGCCAAGTTCAATTAACACAAACACATCTCAAAGAAGTCAACACAAAGCATTACTGTAAGTTTAAGTGTTAACTTGAACAGTTAAGTTCAAATCTAAAACTTGTCAGAGCTCTTTGAGTTAAAGACAAGAAGAAAGTGGACATAACTAAACGGGGCGGTGATGTTTTACAGTGCGGTTCGACCTGTGTTCTCGGTGTCCTTGCGCTCCAGTGCCTCACAGCAGCACACTGCTAAGGCTGCGTAAAATGCAGAGAATCATTTCCCCATGTGGGATTAATAAAGGATTATAAATAAAATTATTATTTTTTTAAAAACACATTTCCCCCAGCCCCTCGCTCAGCACCTGTAATACCTCTGCGCCCCACAGTTTGAGAACCACTGCTTTAAGTGTTTGCACAGTAACAGTCTGAGGTGTTCTGACTGAAGTCCAGCTGAGACACATCTGGATCTTTGGATGTTTCATGTGTGTCTCATGGATCAACAGCACCATGAAGGTCTCAGTGGACGTCTACAGAGACAATTGTGACAAATTGACCAGGTAGCACTACATTATCACTTATGATGGCGCTTACTGCTTATAGCACTTTTTACAGATTAGATTTCTTGAAGAATGTGTACTTTCCTGATTGTTGTTGTTCTGGTTCTGTTCCCTCTTGATTGAATTAGCTTATAAGTCACTTTGGATCAAATCATTGGCTGGGTGATAAATGTAAAGCACTTTGACGGGTCTGAGACTAGAAAAGCGATTTAGTCAATTTACCATTTAGTGTGTTTATGTCCATTAACCTTATTGTATTTGTACAAAAGAAATGTGATAAATGCCTTTAACGTGTAACCAAAATTGTGTATTTCATGTACGTTCTGTGTTGGAATGGAGTCCTTGTATATATATTTATAGACATGATAAAAAGTGTCTTAAAAACCCCAATCAGCCTCTTCATTTGTTGTATTAATTCAATAAGTCAGTGAGTGATCAAAACCATCCTCAAAAATACAAATGTATCACATGAAGGTAAATGTTAAGCCAGAGGCACAGATTAAATACACATAGCATACAAAGTACACACACTTCTAATCATTCTGCAGTAAACACCCTTTTATTTCATAATCTGATCACTGAAGAAGACAAGTGCTTAAGTTTTAACTTTATAAGTAAGAACAAACTTTTAAAAATAACAATCAGCCATATTACAGGCTACATAGATGAGCTGCTAGGCTTAACCTGCTTGTTATAAGAGGTATAAAATCATCCTTATTGACACACTAACATGTAACGGTGTTTTTGTTTTTTTATATTTTACTCATTAAGACTGTAAAACACAAGACACGTGAGACAAGTACGGAGAAGTGACAGCAGGTCTGCGTTAAGAGGAGACGTCCAGGTGCAGGTGGACACCTGGTAGGTGTGACGTGAGGCCTCAGAGGCCTTGAAGGGGACTTTCCCCCTCTGTGCTTCTGTGGGGACATTCCTGAATCTGCCGACTCTCTGGGACAATAAGAAGGACAGTTTGAGAGGAGAACAGAGTTGGTGAAAATGTGTTAGAGTGACCGGAGACGGAGAAGCTGTAGATTAAGATCTGACTCAGGAGCAGTCGTCATTAGTGGCGATTGAAAAGTTCTCTGCGGTGTAGAAAAATGACCTCTAGCCTCTAGCTCTAACAAATTCAGCTCCATATTACTGCAGATAAATGAATAAAAGAAAGTTGCAGTAAGGAAATGTCCTCATTTTGAGGCATTTAGAAACCTATTTAATAACCTCTGTCACGACCTGGCTCTTTGGGCCATGACAAGATTGGAGTTACACTGGTTTCCGAGGTGTAACATTCTTTATCTCACACACAAAACGAAAAACCATAACCATTCCAGATGGGATGCGAATGTCAGTATTATCAGTAGTGTAGGATGTGCATGAGGGTAAAGTGTAAATGGTGGGTGTTGTCCAGGGCATTTAACCCAAAGGAAAACCGGATTCAACAGGCGGCTGCCCTACCACACCGGACGTCTGCTGGAGAGAGAAGAGAGCGACCGAATCAATGAATGAACACAGGGCTTTCTAATCTCAGGGCACCTGGCCCAGGTGCCTTCAATCACCAAATCTCATTGGAAGGCTGCTGCCTCCACAGCAGGGGTCGTCACACCTCCCCCCTTAAGACGGGGTCCCGACAGGGATCACCGCAAATTCCAAAAACAACAACAACAAAAACATACTACCTTAGCACCCTTCACATTGAACCTACGCCCCAGCTCTGCAACCAGGTACTTATAGAAGCATTTTAAGAGAGAGACGAGAACAAAGTGAAGAATGACAGGAGTTACATTTCATGATCACAATATTAACCCGGACCACTACAATTCAGACCATTTAGCCCACAGAGGCACGAGAAAAAAGCATCTGCCATTATATTGTCTCTGCCTTTAATGTGCCTGATGTCTAAATTATGACTTTGCAGAAACAATGTCCACCGCATCAGACGTTGGTTTGGGCAGTGCAGCGAACTCAAAAATGTCAAAGGGTTATGATCGGTATACACAACTACTGGTTTTCCCCCCGTACCGACATAAACTTCAAAATGCTGCAGCGCCCAAATAAGTGCCAGCGCTTCCTTCTCTATTGTTGAATAGTTCCTCTGATATGAATTAAACTTCTTCGAGAAGTAACACACAGGTTTATCAATTCCCCCCTCCTCCTGCAATAACACCGCCCCTGCGCCCACTTGACTGGCATCTGTCAGGATCTTAAACGGTTCATCCAAACATGGTGCAGCCAGGACTGGAGCCAAGCACAGGAGGGCTTTCACATTCTCAAAGGCACCTTGACAGAGGAGACCACACAAATTTCACCTTGCCCTTCAACAGATCAGTTAGTGGCGCGACCACCGACGAAAAGTTTTTACAAAAACTCCTATAATAGCCGACCAAGCCAAGGAACCGCATCAACTCTTTTTTCGTACTGGGGGCAGGAAACTGCACCACTTTTCTCACACTTCCTGAACTTCTGGCGGTAAGCCTCAGGAACCAACTCATACGCTTTCAAGACAGCAGATTTGACCTTGGCATAATTCATACACTCACTCGCATGCAGCGCTGAATATGCTTCCTGGGCCCTACCCGTAAGTACGCACTGAAGCATCACGGTCCTGTCAGCATCCGGCCAATTTCTTGCATCTGCAACACGCTCAAACAAAGTGAAAAACGTATCAGGATCCTTCTGATTAAATCTGGGCATTAAACGCAAATTAGTCCCAACATCGAACACGAGACGAACAGACTCCGGGAAACCTTCCTCTGCCATAGTCTGTGAAAGCTTACCGTCACAAATTAAACTCAATTTATACTGCTGCAATTCCAGTTTCATTTTTTCTGTTTGCTGCCGAACCTTTTCGATTTGAATCTGCCGCTCAGTTTCCAAGTTTAACCGGATCATCAGCAGCTCCTTCTGCTGCTCAAAAGTCAGCCCCGACATGGGTGCAGACACAGGTGTTGCCACAGCTGCCACGTCCGACCAATACTCCTCCGTCCTCCAAACACCACTTTCCACTAAAGCGGACAGAACAACAGCTTTCACCTCAGCCTTAAGTTTGACATTAGTCACATCAATAGTATAATGCTCGGCTATCTGAGCACTGTTCTTTAGTACAGCCATTAATGA